TCGGGTCAAATAAAATACAACACTTGTTCCCAATCCTTATTGGACCTTAGAATCAATATGATTCCCCAATTTTAATTTAGAAATCTCCGGAATCCCTTTTTGGGCCGTTATCCGAGAAATTGCCGATACCGATAATTTGGCCCCGTTTGACCAACCGGTCAACCCTGTGCCATTGCTATGGACCAATTTGGGTATCCACCACCATATACGTATTTTCTAGGCCCAGAAGAATCTAATATGTGGTCCCGATAATATCGGGTGGTCCCCACTCCTGATGTGGGCCCCTCGTGCATTTTACTATTCACGCGAAAAGAATTTAATACAAAGTCACAACCTCGTAAATTCACTAAAAATTTCGTAGGGTTCAATAAATTATTCGCTTAAAGATAAGTACATTTTGGGGACGGTGTTACAGATGATGGAGTGGTCATCATGTTGAGGTGGACGCATTTAAATCACAGTCAACCTTTATCGGTACCGGTTCTACAGAACGATCTAGCATGACAACCTGTCAACTGAATCCAACAAGGTCCTCCCACCACGCGAACTCGTGAGACCTGAATTTCCACTCTCTCCCTTATTAGCCGTTGTGCACAGTGGCGTTTCCAGAAAAGTACGCCAGTGGGGGCAAACTTAGCTTAGATTAAGAAAAAAATCACTAGAAAAATTAGACTAATCAGATTAATAAAAAATCATGACATTAATTATAAATAACAAGATATTCTCCGGACAAAACATTATGATATCATGTTTAATTAAATTTCACTTTGTTAGAAATAATTTTATCACACGACATTTGTAGTTTGTGCAAAATTATATCAATAAATAAATGAATCAACTAAGGGAAGGATCAAATATGTACTTAGAATTAATTTAATTTGAAAATTCACAAGTATATTTAAAAAAATTACACCCTCCCTCCCAAATTTATTTGCAAAAACAACATTTTTTGGTCAACTAATGTTAAAGTTAAATTCTTCTTATTGATAATTAATTCAATTTTTAATAATTAAAATTTATATATTCAGAAACTACATTAAAATATCTTCAAAGTTGAAAACTCCAAATTAGAATGTAATTAAAAATTGACATCCTAATTAAGTGAATAAAATGAAACTGTTAGACAAAAAAGAGAGTCAATTTTGTAAATCAATTTGAGACGGATGTAGTAGTTTATATTATGTAAAAAATCAGCCCATATGTTAAATTATACTACCTCCGTTCCTATTTTATCTTCCAACCCACTTTGGCACACAATTTAAGAAAAGTGGGTATTGTGTGGTGGAGAGTTGTGCAGAGGAGAGAGAAATGTGTAAGAAATGTTGTGAACCACAAATTCTTTACCAAAAAAAAGAAAGTGAAAATTTAATTGGAACGGATGAAAAAGGAAAGTTGGAAGTTTGTTTAGGAACGGAGGGAGTAATTAAATCTATATTGATGTAGTTTAGATCTTTCCAACAAAAAAGATAAAAATGATGTAAACCACTTAGAATTTGCTTAAGACTTCTAGGGAAAAAATTTCAAGGAGTTCAAACCCTTGACCTTGGAATCATTGATGATACCTACCTTCAGCCTTCTTTCGAATCGGCCACGCATAGTTATATTTGCAATTTTCATACTTAATACTCCGTATATATTATCTCTTTTGTTAATACACAAATATATGTACGTAGTATAATTTAAAATTGGATATATATAGGGATTGGGTGGGGTTGAGTGAGGGCAGCTGCCCCCTGTCCCCTCCTTGGATACGTCCTTGGTTGTGCAACTCCATGAAGGTAAAAAGAGTCATTGAGAGCAAGATCTTCCTCCTTTTCTCATTGCCCTTTGGTGCATAGCGGGTTTCGAACAATGTCGGCCATAGGGGCAAGCACCTAGGCAATGGCCTAGGGCACCACCTTCAATGGGGGCATCACTTTTTTAAATAGATTGATTAATACTTCATCCATCCCTTTAAACTTTGTCAACTTTTCTTTTAATTTAGATGTCCCACTAACTTTGCCACTTTCCCTTTTAAATAAAGAATTTGTGGTTCCAATTTGTTCTCTCTCCCCTACACAAAGCTCAATCACACAGTTTTTACTTTATTAATCCTCGTGCCGGTCAAACTTGGCAAAGTTTTAAGGGACAGAGGGAGTACATAGTAATGACCATTGGCATCCAATTCAAGTAGCCGCATAATGAAAAGTCAAAGCAACAAACACATGACATGGGAGCCTGGTCCGCTGGCCGAACGGTCCAATAGGAAATTAGGAATAATGTATAGATGTATAGTCTATCTATTAGACTATTACCCTAGTACGTTATAAGTATACGGATTACAGGAGGCAATCGAGAATAGCCACAACCACTAGTCAATTTGCGTTTCTGCAATCCAGTTATCCAGGTAAGGGTAAGGATCAACCCGTTGATTTGAGATTTCAGCATTGATTAATTAACTATTTTGGTTATATTTGATTATTTGAAACTTCTATTTCTTTCAATTCTTCTCAATCCATATTGATTACACACAATTGACAATTCCGATTTTCGGAAAGAAATTAGAATCTGAAATTTTTAATTAAATGAGTTATTCTACAACCAATTTATTACTTATTATTTATTAATTGTTATAAACTTGAAAATTTCTGTTATATATTTTTTCTAATTTTTTTGAAGTTATTCGCTTATCAAATTCAACTGAAACTTATTCTTTTTAAATGGTATTTCTATAGAAAAAAGAGTGTTATCTTTTTAATGATGTACTTACAAAGTTTGCACTTAAAAAGACACGAAGAATATGTTATTAGGTAGTACTTTTATAGTTTCATTTATTTTTTAAAAATTTATATTTTCACACACTTTATATCAATTTTAAGTCGAGTATTACCTTTTACATGTAGTAAAAAATGATGTTATAATTTTCTAATTACTTCATTTTAATTCCATTATTATTAATTTTAGATACTATTTGATCGCATTGCTCATTTGTTGTCTGGGGTACCAAAAGTGCTAGAGACGATCATGATTTCGAACATGAGAACTCACATATGCACTGGTAACCTTACCATCAACTAGGCTGGTATCCTTGGTTGGAGACTGGAGTGTTTGTTTATATGTATGTAAAAAACGTCTATGTCAAAAAAAGAGAGGTCTATGTAAAAAAAAAAGGAGGTGATAGTCGCCGGATTGTTCGAATTGCATTGTGTTCTTGTTAAAAACTTGCTCCAAAAACAAATGAAATGATACTCATGTCTTACCAACAAAGAATCCTACCTAAACTTTTTTTCACCAGCGTGGGAATATGGCCCACCTTTATGTGAATTTTAAAGTTTAGACTTGACTCTTCCTTTCCAAAAATGTTTAGACTTGTGAATTGTGACTCTGATAAAGTTTTAGGCTCTGTTTGGTTGGAGATTTTCGGAGGGAAAGGGAGGAAAGTGGGGGATTTGTGTGTGTTTGATTGAAGGAAATAGGGGGGAATGGGAGGAAAGTGAAAGGCTTTCAAAATCTTTCACTTCCTCTCATTCTAAACCCCCCAAATCGGGATATTTTGAAGCAAACATGTTGATAACCACAAACTATCTATCTCCTACGTGAATGAACAAAACGTTATAATATAAAAAGGTAAAAAACAAAAAGTTTTGAAAACTTAAAAAAATTAAAAATTTAAAAGTTTAAAGATTAAAAATTTTAAAAATTTAAAAATTATAAATAAAAAAAATTAAAAATTCCAAACTGGAAAATGAAAAATTATAAAATTAAAAAAGTAAAAAATAAAATGAATTAAAATTATGACTCATGACCATATGAGTAATATTCACAATAGTTAGACATGTATCTATTTTTTAAAGTAAGCTATCAAATAAAAGTAAATTGCGAAAATATTTTCACTGAACCTTTCCTCCTATTTCCTCTAACCAAACATAAATTTTTATCAAAATCCTTCCTTCCCCTCCCCTTCCCCTCCCTCCTTGACTCTCCCCTTCCCTCCTCTCCTTTGAACCAAACAAGTGGATTCAAAAGTGAGAACACACTCAAATCGACGGTAGTGGTGTTTTTATCTGGATTAAAAAAATTGATCCGGTATGTTTAAACCTAATTCGATCTTATTTGAACTAGTATGGTATGATAAATATCATATGCTTGGTCTGGTCTTCTTTGATCTTCTCTGGAGTGATTTAGTTTGTTAATGTCTGGTCAGATCTGATCTATCAGATTAAACTTGGTCTAGTCTGATATGAGAATGAAATAAGTCAAAACAAAATCATCCTAAGATATGAGAAAATCTAGGGATGTTTAGATCTACGGCTTAAAATTGCTTACACTTGAGTGAAAGTGTAGAAATACTTCTGCGTGTTCCAAATTGCTCCTAGAAGCAGCTTTTAAAAGTCGAGGGAGATCAACTTTTACAAAACAAATCCTAATTCTACTTTGTTTTAAAAAAAGAAGCACAAACGAAATCAATTCCAGACACCCCTAATAAAAGAGCACGTACTCCGGTACTCGTTATTTAAGAGACCTCTTTAAAATTATTACTATCCTCCGTATCTCATTAATTGAAACATTGGAATATATACACTATTCATGTACTTTACTTTGACTACATTTTATTTATTAATGTATGTGAATTATTATTTTTGAAAAATGTTGTTAAATTCGTCTCATTACTAAGTTTTATAATCTGAATTTTATTTTATTTTTAGTAATACAGAATTAAATATAATGACGGCCAAAATTGTGCGTTGTCAAACGTAAAATGTTCACGGTTGGAACTAAGGATAAAAGTGGTTTTCAGCCTCTAGCATAAAAGGCGGCCGAACAACGTTGATGACACTTGCACAAATCTCATCAAGAGTGAATTGTCGGATTAAACTCTCTTCTCAATCAAAGTTGTGCAACCATCATACACCAATCTGTGTCTCCAACAAATTTGCTCCACACTTCTCAAAATCACAAAAAAAAAAAAAAAAAAAAAAAAAAAAAAACTGAATGAATTCAAGACAATTTGTGGAATCATAGAACAAACACATGTATATCTTCCTATAAACGTAAGAGTGGACTTTTAATTTTTTTAATTCGGGCGCCCTCGGCTCCTGGGCTATGGGCAAATGGAATCATAGAACAAAAGCAAATATTTATATATATAAATTTTAGGTACATGAAAAGTTAATCAGGAATCAGGGCAAGGACGCATGCCTCTTGAATACTGATGCAGATTTTTTAAACATAAGTATTTTCTTCAACAACTTCAGCATTACAAACGGGGAAAGCATCCCACCACCACCAGCTCCATTCCTCCTCTTGCGCATTGCCGCCGCCGCCAGTTTTTCATTCACCGGCGGAGGAGAAAAATCCGGCGACCACCGGGGTTCGGAAACGTCGTCGGTATGGAATCCCGCTGACCCACTACTCCCGTGCAATTCGTCGTTGAAATCCTCCCACAACATGTCCATCACCTCATCCGCGCCGCTGAGAACTTCAGACCCGGGGGAGCTTTTCCGGCAGCCGGAGTTCATCTCCGACTGAGAGGGAATCATCCACATATCTAGAGATGATGGAGTGGTCATCAGGTTGAGATTGGCGGAGACGCCGTTAACGGCGGTGGGCAGGCAGAAACCCTCTGTGACCATTTCTTGATCAAGATGTATTTGGTGGTAGACTTTGAGGGATATTTTGAAAGAGATTGGAGTGTTTATTTATATACTCCACGTCCCATAAAATTTTTCTCACTTTCCTTTTTGGGTCGTCCTAAAAAATTCTTCCCACTTACCACTTTTAGACAATTTGTGTGGTTCACATTCATTTCACCTTTTTCTTACACAAGCACAACCATACATTTCCATTTTATTCCACTTTCTTAATATCCGTGTCAAGTCAAAGTGGGAAGAATTTTACGGGACCGAGGTAGCATGTATGTAAAGGAGCTGAGGTCTATGTCAAACAATAAATAAATAAAAGGGGTGTGATAGTCGCCGGATTATTCGGATTGCATTATGTTCTTATTTAAAAAGTTGCTCCAAAAAGAAATACTCCGTAAAATGGAACTCATGTCTTACCAACAAAGAATCCTACCTAAACTTTTTTCAGCCGCGTGGGAATCTGGCCCACCTTTATGTGAATTTTAAAGTTTAGACTTGACTCTACTAAAGTTTTCAAGTTTAAAACTTTACTCTATGAGTTTGAGAATATTTCACTATTTACGGAATTCAAAACACACTGAAATCAAGGATGTTTTTACTTTCATTACAATTTTCTACTCCGTATATATGGTCAATGACTAGTTTAAGTTCGGTCTAGTCTGATCTTATTTATCTGGTCTGGTCTTGGATAAATTTTGAATCTTTCTGTATTTTCCAACTACAAAAGTCTGGTCTGATCTATTAAAATTTGGTCTGTTGTACATGTTTAAGTGAAATAAATTCAAGTAAAAACAACCTAAAATATGAGCAAATCTAGTTTGATCTACCTGACCATAGTGTTAAAGAGATCTCTTAGGAGATGTTTGGGAGTACGGGGAAAGAGAGATGAAGACTTTGAAAGTAAATTGTCAGAGGGAAATGTAATGGAGGGTGAGTGAACCCTTCTTATTTGAGAGTAATAAATTTTAAAAAGGGGAGTTTTAAAAGGAATTATAATTAAAATCATATTTTGAGATACAGTGAATCTAAATAGTTGAAAATATATTCATTTTAAATTTAGCTTAAACCATCATTTAGTTACTTTTCCTTAAATAGTTGTATGGTGATTCCGTGAATGTTTTTTTCTAGTTGTATGAATATCGTTTTCATATGTGAATGTTCCTATATTTAAAAGTAACCCTTATTCTAAAATATGATGTATTTTTGTCACACCTATGATTATGATTATTTTTTGAATTCCATTATTATTATTATTATTATTATTATTATTATTATTATTATTATTATTATTATTATTATTATTATTATTATTATTATTATTATTATTATTATTATTATTATTACTACTACTACTACGGAGTACTACATACAGGGTATTATTATTGTTTTGCACAGAGGTTTGAATGATGACAGATCCAGTCAATCTCCATTGCTGGCCAAGGATGACAAGTGTGGAAGAAATTAATGTTGGGACTGAGAAGGAAAGAACAAAATCCTAATTACACGTACACACATAATACTTCTTTGTGTGTACGAAAATATTTTTGTATGTGACTGTGCACTTGGTGTTTAAAGCTTTAAATACTTCGACACAACATTCTATCAATTTGGCATCAAGAGTAAACAATACTTGTCCATAAGTCAGTCAACATTTTGACATATAGTACTGATGATTGAATTGATTAATGTTGGCTTAATCACTTGTACCAGTTATGCTAATAACTTTAGTGAAAATAGCAAAAATGAAACCAATAATTAATCATAATGAAGAAAGCTAAGCTAAGAAAGAATATCAAAAAGAAACGAAGGGAGAATCTTATGTTGCGATTAATGGAAGAATAAATAATGCTATAATTTGCAATACCGTGGTAGGCGTAGCTAAATTGGTAGATAGAGTGTCACACGAGGTAAGTCACGTACGGGGTAAGTTTTGAGCTTGATTCTTGGTAACTGCGATAAAGGGTTACCTACAAAATGCGTAGGACACCTGCAAGTACCTGAGTCAGAGCTTCATCCGGTATCAATCAATATGTGATTTAAGTCTAATTTACATCCTATCAATTAACTATCAGACCCGACTCTTAGGAATGGTGTGTGATCATTTTATGGTGCAAGCTAGGAGCCTATGCTACTTTGTTTAAGAACATTTAACCATATGCGTCAATAAACTAAAATGTCGATCATTTAGTTGTGTAAAAAAACCATTCATTGTCAATCAATTAATTAGTGTGGGATAAAAATTCATTGATAAAAATTAATCAAGTGTCATTGTGTCATTATTGTTGCTGAACAAATAACAAACTTAGTTAGTTATTCGGTTATAAACATTTTTTGTTCAGACTTTTTTCTCAAATGATTTTAGTTTAAATTCTCATACATTATTTGACGTTCAAAAAAACTAGTTTTGTTAATTTTCTTTTCGAAGTGTATGAAATGTTTAAAGTTAGAGAAATGGAAAACTTATATCAAATGTAAAATTTCACATGTTGCACTTATTTAAGAACGGAGGTAGTACATGAATACAATGATAAGAATTGAGTTTTTTACAATTTGAAGTTTTCAACCACCGAACCATGGCAGCTTCTAATGCACCTTCCGCAGCTTTTAAGGTACACATCAAAAAATGATTTGCTAAATCAAATTTGGACATTTGGGGCTGTGATTGTCAAAAAGTAGGTTTGGACATTTAGATTTCCCTTCAGTTTGTGTAAAACTAAGATACCGATTACTAAATAAAACTCAATTTATATTATCGGGCAGCTCAAAGTTCTTAGATTAAAATGATAAATAAAAAGAGTTCTTACATTAAGATATTGTCAATACATGTAAAATATTTAAATATTTTAATTAGACTATTTAGATCCGACGTCTTTCTTTACTCCATGTAATTAAATATTAATATCTATGCGGCTGTACTTTATTATTTCTATTAACAATAGGAAATTTCATATAAATAGACTAGCTATAATCCACAGATATATCAGAGAACTAGAATATCTTTTCTAGATGTCTATTTTCTGGATTTTATCAATATATTAGGAATTCAATGGAATATGCCACTTTAACTCAGTGATAGAGTAACACCATGGTAGGGCATAAGTCTTCGGTTCAATCCGTTAAGGGGCTAAGTAAAAGAATTTAAATCTTTTTTTGTAATAAGAATAAATAAATGGATAAAAAGGAAATATTATCAAATACATAATATAATAACATATGATTTCATAAATATCATTGCATTTTAGTCATCATTTTCTTCTTTCCTAGATTCACGTTTTTCCATTTTTCATTGGGACAATTATTTAGTTATTAACAACTATATCAAATAATTAATGAATTCATTAATCTTCATTTTATTTATTTATTTACGAATTTTCAGTTTTTTGTGGGGAGAGGAGAAGCCCATGTAACTACACCGGGCTCCTTCCTCTTGGTACGTTGCCTAGTTTGTTCTTAATTTTCAGATTAGATTTATAATTTCTGAAAATCCTTGATTCACATTATTTTCGTCGATTTTTTCTCTTGACTTTTAATTTTCTTAAAAGCTTTGACTAAATTGTGATCAATTGTATTTGAATGAGTTCAAAACAGGGTATCTAGTATCTACTTTTTCTATCAAACCCGGATTCATAATTTTTGTCTAAACACTTCAATTGTAGATATAATTCTTGGGCATTATATTGAATCTCAATGATTCCAAAATCAAAGCATTTGATTTGTTTATTTTCTTTTCTGTTCCTTGAGCATATTTGTTTTCATTTTATTTCGTTAATCATTTGAATATCTTTATTACAAGGTTGAGTCGTAAAGCTTTTTCATTGGCTCATTGCATACAAGTCATTTGTACAAGTGCTCGCTTCAGCCTAGGCTCATCTATCTGAGGCAGAAGTTGTTGGTTTGATTCTTACTAAAATTTGAGTCGTATGAAGAGTCCTTTACATAATTTTAGCTGTGTAATTGCTCTTGTACTACAAATTGTGTACTCATTCTTTGTGCAACAAGAATTTTTCATTTGAACCTGTAGCTTTGTACCGATGCGTAAAGTACATAAAATGTGTACATTGTCTGTGTACACAGACAATTTGACATCAAGTACTGTCCCCTTTTAAACGAATTGCATGTGTACACAGGCAACTAGGGGGTTTTGTGTACAACTTGTGTACAACTCATGTACACTAAGCATTTTCCATGCATAAATGGTTGAGTCAGATGAGTCAATCAGCTTATTAATTTTTTAAATTGGATTTATGAACATTACAAAGCAGGTTCATAAAAAACCACAAAAACAATGACATATCATCTTTTACTACTCCGTATTATTAATGTTAAGATGCAACTTTTACTAATGTGCAAGCTGTTTTGTTTATACATTTTTACCTATTTTGTTTACATAATTTGATTAGTCCATATTTAAGAAAACTTTAAATGACATTTGTTATACAAATCATTTGTACAATATAAATTTATAAATTTATACCTATAAATTTATAAATTTATATTGTACAAATGTTTTATACGAGTATAAAAATTGCATTTACTTTGTCATTGAATTGTAAATAAATACTTGTAATAACACATCTTTAGTTTATCATCATTTCATTACTATTACAGATGAGTATTAAGCATACCGTATGACATCAGAATGGGGACTCGGACCGGTACAGCACTACAGCCTACCCCCCATTATTGTCTGAGCCCCCACTTTGAGAACCGAAACAGTCCCATAATCCACCCCCCATATGCTAAAAAACTCAATGTTACACTTGCTTTTAAAAAAATCGATCAAGCATAGCTGCAATCAGCATATTAAAAAAAAAACGCACGGGTAGCCTCAGTTGGTTCAGTGGTGGGAAATTTGGACCAAGTGACCAAGGTTCGAAACCCGCAGCGATCGTGTGGAAGTCACAGAACCTGAAATAAGGATGAGCCTTTGATGCGCACGGGAAAAAGGCCTACTATCATTGGGCCGACTGAGTCAACGTGATTAACATCCTCCCAAAAATCCTGTCAGATCGGGGTATGGGGGGCTCCTGGGGTGGGAGATTCCACCTTTTGGACCAAGCATAAAAAAAGAAAATAAAAAGAAACGACAGTGGATGTGACAATAGCAAAATGTATTCCTACTAGGACTCAAAGCAGTATTGTCAATTGTCATAGTTGCGGAGTAATACATTTCCAAATCACACATCATTTCGACTTTATAAAAACAGGTGGTAACAATACTACATTGGATTTAAGCACACTCAGAGGACATGAATAATTGCCCCGAGTTCGTAGGCTTGATTCATTCATCAAATAGTCAACAAGTTCACAAAAAATGTCATATTTATCAGGCACCAACGAATACATGGAAGCTTCAGTTACAAACAAACCTGGAAATCTTATTAAGTTGTGCCAAACGGGAATCACATCACCAAGGAATTGGCTGACCATCCCATGCAAAGAATTTGCCATTATCACTCTGCTTTGCATTCTGGATGATGCTGAGAAGCTTTTGCACAGAAAACTCTTTCGTGAAAAGCTTGTCTTTGGCAACATTTTTCTGAAAAGGTTTTGAAAGATCTGTATCTACTGTGCCTGGGTGCAGCAGAAGGCATATGATTGGATCTTTTTTACGGGCAAATTCCACTGATATGGTCTTTGTCACTGCAGCGGAGAAATGGTTTTCATATATAAAGAAATTCAGAACAATGGGACCAGTTTCATTGTGTGCTATCTTGCAGAGTAGATTGTCAATGTGTCGATTAAAAGCACAAAATCCTTATACAATTACAGCTTCCTATTCAGTATTCATCCAAGGTATGCTTGGAACCCAGAAAATGCTCCAGAAAGAAAATAGCAAGGAAAATGCAGGGGAAGTTTTGAAGGTAAGGAAATTTGGGGAAGTTTAATATGGGTTCAAAACTCAAATAACTTGGATATTTGTTCGAACTCGTTTTACTTATATACTTCTATTATGTAAAGACTAAACAAAACAAAAAATACCCAGTACACAATGTCCCGCTCCATGGGGAGAGTGAGATTTCGCAGGCATGACCTCTATCTCTAGAGTCGAGAAGATGTGTCTGTGGAGACCAGGCAAAGAAAAATTAAGATGTTATGGCGGGAGTTGAAAATTTGAAAAGATGTAAACTTATCAAACAAAACACCATTTATATTAAGCCAAAAATCCAAGTACACGTGAAATCTCAAAATGTTCTAGCCAAATTAGACTTCCCTTCATATTTGCCAAGGTAAAGCCAAACATTAGAAACACCAATTTCTGGAGCTTTTTTCCCTTTCCAGACAATTTCCCGGATTCCAAACACAGCCTTTATGAATGAAATAGAGTCTGACTTAGAAGAACGTATTAAATGTTTAAATGTAATATTTACCATAGTAAAATATCATCAGACCATAAAAGAAACAACAACATTCAAGCCTTAGTACCAAAAGGGTTTCGGGGGTGAACCGACATGAATCTTAAGTTTTAGTATCCACACAAAACTACAAATTTGAGTATTTGATAATTTAATGAACAAATGCTTCAAAACCATACACTGATTTAAAGCAGCCTTTGAGGATCGGTATGAGTGCCACCCTCCTAGAGCATTGTCTTCGATTGATCCAACCCTTGCACTTAAGTTGGCAACTATAGCGAAATCCCTCTCTGTTCCACCCCCACCTCCAGCCTTCAGTAAAGGCCACATGTGCTGTTCATACATATTTTGTCAACTCCAAGTTATTAAGGAAATAACTTACATTATGCTAATAAACTCATGACGCCTGCCTCAGGAAGTTATTAAGATTCTGGGCATCCACTTCTTTTTCTTTGGGAATCGGGGTGAGGGGCTGAGGAAATTTAGTGAAAATGAATCAAACTATAATGAACAAACAGTAAAATAGTACTCCCTCCGGTTCTTATTAAAGTTCTCACTTTCCTTTTTGGGATGTCCCTTATTTAAGTTCACACTTCCATTTTAGGAAACAAAACAATGCCAAACAGTGCCAAACAGTGTCCAAACAGTGCCAAACAGTGTACTCCACAGTAAAGTCAAATTCATTTTCTTAATATGTGTGAAGTCAAACTGGGAACTTTAATAAGAACCGGAGGGAGTATATTTTTGAGAAATCACATCAGAAACCAAATGATAGTACCTTGATAACCAATACAGGACCAACAGCATTGATTTCATAAGCAAGAAGCAATGATGACCTCTCTACTTTGGCCAGTGTAGTTTCTGCACTGAAAATTTGGGTACATAATGACTCACATAACTTTTTTGAGTGCCAAAAAAATGAAACCAAACTACTGATGTGAAGAATGTGGTTTTTCCCATGATCTAATGCAAGAATTATAAGCTGTGGTTATAATGGACCTTCATATAAACATGCAAATCCATCAAACGAAACATAGGTAGCTAAAAAAACATAAGTACCTGGCTGCAGAATGTTTGGTATTGAAAGGATGCCGGATGCATTAATTAGAAGGTTTAGGAAGCCATATTTGTCTTTAACGGCATTTGCTGACATCTGCATTTGGACATATTGATGTGAAATAGACATATAGTTTAGCTTTCCTCATATTTAACACGAACCAAACAATTTACTTCAGCCACATATGTATGACTGTAAGTAGTTCGTTTTTGTGTATGCTGAAGGAACGAGAGGTGCGTCCTACTTTAGGCCTCGATGACCATAACACTAATTTGAGTAAGGTATAGCACTATAGCAGCAAAACAGGAGGAAACTGTTATGATCAATGCTTTTCTTCATATATAATATATTTTATCAAGGAAATTAATAAAGTTACTACGTTTTTTCGCCTAGTTCAGTTGGGTCACATTTCAACGGCAATGTATCAAACTCGATATTTGTTCAACCCAGTAACTTAGATAAATTAAATCCTAAAAAAACACTGTCTTTATGGTGATAGCAAAGTGAGGGTTTAATTGTAAAGGAAAACACCTCTATAGTGCTTTCTATTGTCAGGTCCAAGGCATGAATATCTAGACGATTGGGAAATTTGTCTTTTAATTCCAGAAGCCCTGCTGCTCCACTAGGGTTCCGACAGGTTGCAATAACACGCCCTTCATCGTTTCTCTCTAGCAATTGCTTAACCTGCGACGTTTCAGGAGCTCAGCCAAAGTTCAATATGAAGGCATCAAGGAAGGATTGAAAAGCACAGCGACAATCACATTCTCTTGATTAATCAAATAATCATAGAGAATCTTCTTACGAATTCAAGGCCAATGCCTCTGGAAGCTCCTTGGACCATGGAAACGCTTCCGTTCCATTGCTTCGTAGCGTAGGAGGATGCCGAGGTGGAGAAGCTGGTTAATGGCGGTAGCCTGATATACGCTTTTATCAGGGAAAGAATGTGGCGCCCGGCAAGATTCATCAGCGGCGAATTCATTTCTATCTCCCGCGCTTCTTTCTATTCGTTTCCCTTTCCGGCATATAGTGATCAGAAATTTGGAGGTAGGCGGGTAGGATCTAATTCTGGCGTTCAGTAGAATGCCGCGACAGTGTAGCATTCACGGTGATGATCATACGTAGGACGAGTACAAGAAAAAGAGTTGGATTGGGGTACACACTTTTGGGGTACACATTTTTTGGGTGTACACACTTTTTACACATGTCTGTGTAAGGTTTTTTTTATGTCTGTACAGACATAACGTATTTTTAAAATTCTAAAGGTACACACTTTTTGGTGTACACACTTTTTACACATGTCTGTGTAAGGTTTTTTTTATGTCTGTACAGACATAACGTATTTTAATACGTTATGTCTGTACAGACATAAAAAAAACCTTACACAGACATGTGTAAAAAGTGTGTATACCAAAAGTGTGTACCTTTAGAATTTTTCCAAGAAAAATAGTCTATGAACAGAATTTATACACAAACTAAAAACAGTTTTCACAAATACGTAGTGGGAAAACTAAAAGGATGACACTTGATACTGCATAAGCCCCGTCCTTATGGTACTCTCTATCTATCAGTTGAGATATTTACCGGTATATTTTCAAATTACTCTCCCACTACGATATTTGAATCGAATACCCATAAAGTAACCACAATTTGGTTTTGATCTAGGGTCACTCTTCTAAAAATCGCTCTACGCGCGCGATTAGTCCCTGCCTAGGCGCTAGACGAGGGTCGGACACCTCGATTTTTGTCTAAACGTCCCGACTAATTGGTTTGGCGTCTAGGTGAATTAGTCGACCCCCTAAGACGCTTATTGCCCGCCCAGAGCGTCTAATCGCCGCCTAGGGTGCCTAGATTCGCCGAACAAATTTTTACTTTTAATTTTCTTGTTATAAAAGATATATTTACCTTTAACTTTAATCACGAATATGAAGAAAGATCCTTGTAAATTAAGAATAAAAATTACATATGTTTGTATATATACTTAAATTTTATTATTATGTACAACATATGTTAAAAAACTACATATGTTATAAATAGACATCAATAATAAATGATAATTAATTCATCATATATGTGAAGTGATTTTAATTATAATTCCTTCTTAGCTCCTCTTTATTCAAATTTGCAACTCCTAAACAAGAAGAAGAGTTTCCTCCCCTTCCCCTCCTAGAACTAACCTTCAAAATTTTGGTGCTTTGGAGATACGTCTTTTGTGAGATAATCTCTCAATTTTCTTATTTGTCTCTATAAATATTGAAGTATCTCGAAATAAAATTAGAAATTACGATTTCCTTCTTTTGGTAAAATTGGACATTATTTTTCTTTTAAATATTACTTTATGTTATGTTGATATGTTAATACTATGACATCTTAGTATTCCTTGTGAACATTACGACACTTTGATTGGTAAAATACTCGTTTGCTTAGACCTGATGTAAGAAGGGAAAACTATATTAGGAAAAAAAATCAATGATCAGATATAGATTACTTATGTAATAGTGTTACTTAGATATAAATTAATATAAAGCGAAGGCTCTGTGCACCTTCGAACTTACTCTGGGCACCCTTTTTGTTCCATCATCGGACAGATTTATCCTTCTTTATACGGAGTCACTAAATCTAATGCTGCTTTCTTGCTAGGCGCACCATAAATTAAAATTCATGAGTAAAGCAACGGTCCTTCTCGGCCAATTTTTGGGTGTCCTAGATTAAGTTAATTACTAGCCACTTTATTGCTTCTTTAAAATAAAAATAGGTTTTAATGCTTCTAAAACTTTGTGTAACATGGAGGATGAATCTGAAAATGGAGGATGAATCTGAAAATTATCTAAAAATAGTACCCTTGATTTTCACACTTATGAGGTATTCATCTACCCCACTATATGTATGATGGATTATTAGGATCCAAATATATGTAATAAGGGAGAGATTAAGCTATAGAGAGGAAGATGAATGAATAGTGATATTGTTTGTGTAATAATGATTTTAGGGTTTACAAGCTCCAAAAGGAGTATATGTAGAGAAATCCGGGTCTAGGCCTCTAATATTGGCCTGACGGACCCGGTTACATAAAAGAAATGATAACATAAAAGACTAATCTAGAATATCTGAATAATAATGTACAATAATATGAATGACATCCAATAAGCGTGTGTGGGCTGCTGTCCGGGCACAATAGTCGTGAGACCCGACGGTCCGAATCTATATACTCTATCAGGAGTCCCCCACTCCCTGAGTCGAGAGTACTCGAGGCGAAAGGGAGTAGAACTGTGTGCTGATCTATCGTCTGATGAGTAAACTTCGTGAAAAAATTTGAATTTCTGCTTCTTTGGTTAATGGAGGCGCTAAGTCCCCCGCTCTTCCAGTCCCCCACTCCTTGAGGTGAATGTAGTGAGGTGAACAGGAGTAGAATGGTGCATGTCTCGTGATGTCTTCAATAGGGGGCCGAGGGTCGACACCTTTTGTCCACGTTAGGGAGATGCCTCGTTAAAAACCTCATTAAGAAAAAAAACCAGTGGGAAAAAATTCTAATGAGGGAAAAAGAGTACATAGGATGCCCCCAAAATGAAGCAAAAGTGGTGAGCCCTTCGACCTAGGTGTGGAGCTGCAACGGTGTCTGGACACCAGTGATTATGACATGGTCTTACTATCACGATGCTAGTGTTACATGATGGGATACTCTACTTCTTCATCGAATTAAAAAGTTTACAGAATGTCGTAATGTTATAAGAGACCTCGTTACAATTATATTGGATGATTGATATAAACATTGTATATTATAAAAACACAAATGTTTTGTTTTTAACTTTGCGCAATTCTATACTTCGTATTAGATTTTTTTTGGAGGTTCTGTATTAGATTATATATTTGAATAAATAACATTTTTAATTCTAGTAAACTAATTATCTTCATTTTTAATAAGTAACATTTTTAATTCTACATTTTTTAAAAAATTACATATATGATATTGGTGTCATATGAAAAATCATAAAAAGATATTTAATTTGGTATACTTTTTATAAAAATTAGAGCAAAAATTAAAAAATTATGACATTTTATAAAAAAAGGAATCACTTGACACATGGTATTTAATATTTAATGTAAATATTATATGGACAAGATGGAGCCGTGTAGCTGTGGAGGTGTGGAGGTGCGCAAAGCCAATGTAAATAACGTTTTAATTATACTAAATTTTTATTAATAATTAAGAAGGCTAAATTCGTCCGCACATGATTACGTCAAGCGATTGTGGGGGTGCGCGAAGCAACCCCCTTAATATAAGCTCATAGAAAAAAATTCAATGTTCATTGTTCATAGTAGTTAGTCTGTTAATATCTACATCAGCTATAAATATAAGCTCATAGATACAGTTTGTACATATTTTGCCTATTCAATGAACTTCTCTTTTATAATCTTCGTTCCACTAACATTGGGACATGAGAATGTGACACGTTTACTAGGAAAAGTGAATTTTATGTGGTTGATATTGAATTAATCGACAAAATAAAAATAAAGCAAGAATGCTTTAGAATCACACAAATTTTACCTAATTTGGTAAAATTTTACCAAATTTGGTATGAGACAAATTTTACCTAATTTGGTATGACAAAATGAAATATTTAAAAAAATAGAAAAACGTTTGTCACGGACGAATCCGTGACAAATAAACACCGGCGTTGCTTCAGTTCCTTGTTTTAATTTGTCACGGATGGCGGCCGTGACAAATTCGTGACAAAGTTTATCACGAAATATTGATCGTGACAAACTTTTTAGTCACGCATTTTTTGTCACGGATAAAACCGTGACAAAATCCGTGACAAATATTTTTTCACGGATTTTTTGAACTGGAATCCGTAACAAAATCCGTGACAAACTGGATGTTTTTTTGTAGTGGTGGATGAGTCAAAAAGGAAATATGGGATAATTTTAACGGGATAGAGAGAGTACATTCTATAGGCCGCTTCTCTTTCTTGGAGGAAAGACCGCAATTCGAGATTTGGGTATCCGTTAAGTATAAGTTATACTTAACAGAGGACTTTATCACCGATTAGTTTAAAAATTCAGAGGTCTTTATCACTGATTAGTTATACTCCCTCCGATTCCTAAACAAGTTCCACATTTGACTTCACACATATTAAGAAAATAAAATTGACTTTACTGTGGAGTGCACTGTTTGGCACTGTTTGGCACTGTTTGAACACTGTTTGACATTGTTTAACACTGTTTGACACTGTTTTGATGTAGATAATAAGGAAATGTTTGAAAGTGGAACTTAATTTTGAATCTGCCCGAAAAAGAAAGGTGGAACTTATTTCAGAAACGGAGGGAGTATTGTATAACAAAGGACTCGACATGCAACATAAATGTGGTGTACAAAGAGGTCTTTATCACCTATTAGTTTAAAAATTCTTAAATGTGACGACACTAGTAGACCTACACTAAACGTGGTGTACAAACATGTCTTTACCAATTTTATCTTTAATAAAAATGAGAACATTTTAATTTAAATTGAAAGGCTAAGGTTAAGCCTCCATTTAGAAAAATAATTAGGTGACAACTCCGGTACCCATTTAAAAAATGGGGTACCGTACCTACCATTCACTTGATTGAATTGGTTCAAATCATTACATCATTTTTAATTTAGATTTAAATAATTCAACTACATCATTCTTATTGGTCCATGTGGACAAAGGTATGGTACCTTAAGGGTACCATAGAATCTACCAAATAATTAAGATACTATCAAATAAAGTAAATAGCTTTTTACCTCATGCAACGCACGGGTGAAAAACTAGTATATATTTAAAAGAAACAGAAAAGAAAAATATTCTAACAATCGAGTGGTACAAATAGGGAATTTAGATAGGAAGCAATTTAATTAACTTTGACTGTCTACTCCGGTCGCATAATGACTCACTAAATTGCATGTGTTTCTTTGTTATGAAGCAGCGGTCAATCCATGCAATTTTCAACGCGATTTTTATTATGACTCCAGCTTTCGGAAACAGTCTCTTTGTGCTTTAGTATACAGCAATACGGGGAGCCTTGGTGGCATTGGGGTAATGTTGGTGTTGTTGTAGTGTCTACTCTAGACTATACTCGAGTGCATACTTGAATAAAAACAGATATACCTCATATTTTCTAACACATTCCCATATTCTTTAAGCTCTTACTTATAAATACCAATGTAGAGTGCATATATTATTAAGTAATCCATTTCTTTTCACTCCACTAGCCAATATATATTGTTTCAAGATTTTCTTTGTTGCTGCTTAGCTGCAAATTGAACTTCTGGCTTTGACTAGCTAGCTAGCAAGCGTAGGTATTCTGATGGCAAACAAGGCGGTCAAGTATGATGATCATGGTCATCATGATCATCATCATCTAGGGATGATCTTCATGATGATTGTGATAATGATGGTCGTGAATAATGGAGTGGGAGTGGATGGTCGCCTGAGAATGGATTACTACATGATGGATTGCCCCTTGGCTGATTTTATTGTAAAAAGTACTGTTAACAAACATTTGGAGGACGATCCTACCATTGCAGCTTCTCTTCTTAGGATGCATTTCCATGACTGTTTCATCCAGGTAAGGCCTGCATGTCTTCTGGGGTTCCATCTTTGTAACAACTATAAATAAGAGTAAGTAGTAATGTCATAGTGAGGTCACTCTATCCTTATAATCACAATGTAGCAGTATGATTAATGCAGGATGACATACAATATTTTACTCCTATTAGAATTGAATAAAAGAAAATACTCCCTCCGTCCCGTTGGAATGTTCCCGCTTTCCTTTTTTGGATGTCCCGTTGGAAAGTTCCCATTTCCCTAAATGGAAAGTTATCCTACATCAAAACAGGGTCAAACAGTGCAAAACAGTGTCAAACAGTGTCAAAACAGTGTCAAAACAGTAAAATTTACCCTCTGGTAAGTTTATTTCCTTAATATGTGTGTAGGTCAAACCGGGAACATTCCAACAGGACGGAGGGAGTACTACGCAGTACCTTTATTTATGAAACTCGATTAACTTTTGTTTACTCATATTTAGGTAAATTCTTTAAAAACAAAAAAGAGACAATGTACTCGCTCTGTCCCCGAAACAAATGTTCCAGTACCCTTTTTAGTCTATCCCAAAATAATTGTCATGTTTTCTTTTTATAAAAATATACAATCCACATCATGTCATGTTATTCTATTCAAAGCTCAATAACATCTATTAACTCTCGACCACTTTATCGATGTGCGCAAAAGCAAAAAAAAACAAAATAATTTAGTAAGAACGTAGTAACATATGTGTCTGTGTGCGCGCGCATGCATACATGTATTCCACCAAGCTTCAAATAAAGTGCTATATTTGGTGGAACTACAAAAACACTCCCTCCTTATACAAATTTGGTTGAATTTGATTGAATAAGGAAACAATATAATAGTATAAACTATGTCATTCCGACTTTCTCAAGAGACAAAAGTAATACTAGTATATTAATATTGAGACCAGATGTTTCACCTTAATAAATAAAAAATAAATCTTGTATCATAGTTTAATGTTCATATTTTACTGATGAGGGAAATAGTTGAGCAATTAGTAATAAATCTATTACTTTTATCTATCACTTGTAAAGGAAATTAAAGTTGAAAAGGTTTTGAACAACCAAGTACGAAGTAAGAAAAAAGGAACCAAATAAACAAATACCCAAGTAAAAAAATGACTAAAATGTTTTGTTTTGATTGATGAATGTAGGGGTGCGATGCATCTGTATTGATAGATTCAAGTCAGGACAATAAGGCAGAGAAGGACTCGCCGGCCAACTTGAGCTTAAGAGGGTATGAAGTTATTGATGAGGCCAAGGAAGAGCTTGAGAAGCAATGCCCCGGAGTTGTTTCTTGTGCTGATATTGTTGCTATGGCTGCCCGAGATGCCGTCTTCTTTGTATGTACTCTTTATCTTTATGACGTTTAATTTGGGATTGGATAGAAAAGTCTTTTATAATATGGATGCTTATACTTGTACGATTTTCAGTCCCAAACAAGACTTAAACACATCACACTAGACCAGACATCAAGCATTTATAAAAACAATGAGTAATTCGAAATAGTAATACTTGTTCTTCCCAAAATATGAATAAATTGTTGTTGTCATTAAATTATACTTCTGCATTTTGGCATACCATTGACTAAGCATTAAAATATGAGTACTGATGTCATAAGTATTTTTCAAGGATAGACACTAACTTGTAATGTACTTCCAGGGCTGGTTCTGGGGAGGCAAAAGGGGAAACCGCCCTAGACCCGAAAAAAATATAAGAAAAAATAGACTCAAATTTCTTTCTTTATATATAGACTTATTCTTTTATTCTTAAGTTCAATTAATTAGGCCTAATGATTAATTTTGTTGACAATTTGAAAATTTAAAACATAAGTAAAGAGTCTTAAACAGAGACAAGTTTAAAACAGAATGTATACATTAATTTTTAGCACGATCGGTTGTAGTTTTTAAAAGCAATATAATTGTTGCTGCATAAATAAAGGACACGTCTCTCTAGTCCTCACATCTTTTTAGCTTTTAGGGTTTTTTATTCAGTTTAATTATAAAATAACAAATTTATATAATTATTTTAGAGCATGTTTCTCTCAAATTTGACCCCAATTATTCATTTGTTTCCAAATTTCAATAAGCTATATCAAAGTTCCTAATAGTAGTTTTAGAGGACGTCAAATTTGCAATCTTCTTGCACGAGTCCTCTTGGCAGCCGAACATTTTGTCTCTTTGAAAATCTTCATTCTTTCGAGACTTCAAACTTTAGACTCTCATCAGCGGTCGATAAATCATTCTCAACTTATAAATTCAATATGTAACAATATTTCTTTTCATTTATCCTTTCAAAAGAAAATTTACTGTTGTTATATGTGTCAATTTTATTGTTTGTCATATTTATTAGTGGAAAGAAGGTTGCCTATGAAGCAATTATTAATTATTTGCTTCACATTGGTCTACGAGAAACGTTTTTAAGTAATGTTTTTTCTTTTTATTCGATACTCGTGTTGTTATTTTTGTCCAAATATGTAACTTATATAATAATTAAGTGATTCACGTCTTTATTTTATGAACTTCATTGCCCAAATATGGTTACTGTATATCATGATATAGGCCGAAAATAACGTACCTATCATAGGCCCAGAAATGTACTTCATAGCTCATATTATTGATTTTGTGTGGCATGCTTACTAAAATGTGTAGAACTTCATTTGACTAGGCTGGAGGTCCAGTTTATGAAATACCCAAAGGCAGAAAAGATGGGAAAAGGTCAAGAATAGAAGACACTAAAAATCTACCATCTCCCAATCTCAACAGCTCCCAGCTTAGCAGCATGTTTAGGCAGCGTGGCTTCACGGTTCAAGAAATGGTAGCCTTGTCAGGTACCAAAATACATCGTTTTTGTTCAAATAGGAGTTGCAGGAGTCATCGGTTTTGGTTCAAACCGTGAGAATCACTGTTTGGTCTTGTATTTTAATTCTCAAATCCCACTACTACGATTTTAGGCTTTTATTTTAAATTTTTGAAAATGAGTATAGTGTTTATAATAAATGTGCATAACTGTTAAAAGAATTGAACATACATAAATGAATATTGTGCACATTAGAATATTCAAATGAGCATATATACAAATAAAAATTTGAGCATATTAGAGATTTTAAATGAGTTTTTGAATTTTTCGATGCCATTAGCGATTTCAGATGACATTTTTAATTTTTTGATACTCACTTTGTAGGTTATGTATGCTCATTGGTACTGGCATTATGTTCATTTTATGTCATAGATTCATAATTCAAAAGTATCACGCTGCTTAATATTAGGCTCCTAATACTCAACAGAATAAATGTAATGCTCAGTAAAAGTTCGTTAATGCTCAACTGACAGAAACCATGATTTTCATATCAATGCATATTAAAATTCACATATTAAAATTCATATCTCATATCTCATTAAATTCAAATATTAAAATGCATATGTATTGTTTATACATAAAATTTAATAGGTTTTATCAAAAGTTAAATAGAAGATATGAAGCAGATATTGTGATACTCATTGTTAACCTCTTAATACTCAACAAAATATGTCAAATGCTCATTAAAAGTAAACTATTGCTCATTTAGCGGAAGCTGTGATTTTTCGTTTTAATTACAAAAATGCCACCGAATTTTTATTGATCTGTATTAGTGGATGGACTGTCTTTTTTACTTGGGCCGGGTGTACGTACATCCAGATGCACTGTCTACTTTTAAAAAGAAGCAATGTTTGAACATTTCCACATAAATTAAAAGAAGTTCTTAATGTTTGAAAGTTTGAATGGCACTCATATTTATTACCACACTTTTATAGTGAACTTTTTGAAGAAGAAATGCGACAATGACATTGTAAAAAATTGATGTTTTCTACGAACATAAAAATGAAGTATAGCGTTGTAAAAGCTAAAATTATCGTATTTCAAACATTGAACATTTTTTATTTAAATTGCACATTTGCACCTAATATAGAGAAGAGAGGGTGATGTTCATATAATTAATGCCTGGCTGATTGGAATTCCATAAGACCAATTCCATTTTTAATGAAAAATGGAATTTGTAATCCAATTTCTTTTATTCATTGTTACCAACCTATGTAGCACGGAAACTCTCAGGAGTATGTTTTCGTTTCGAAAACTCTAAGGACACTCTTTTGAAACTCTCCAAACAAGCATTTTTTGACCACACACTCATAGAAAAATCACAAATCTCGCATCATGTGCAGGCGCCCATAGCTTGGGAGCAGCAAGGTGCGCATCATTCAAGCAGCGGTTGAGCAGCTTTGACCAGATGCATGCTGTGGACCCCACTATCGATGGCAGGTTTGCGGAAACTCTGTCTCGAACATGCAATGCCGGCGACGGTGCAGAGCAACCCTTCGATTCGACGAGGAACACATTCGACAACGACTATTTCAATGCACTGCAGGGAAAGAGAGGCGTCCTCTTCTCCGACCAGACATTGTTCGCCAATCCTGCTACTCGCAGCATTGTCAACAGCTATGCTATGAACCAGGCAATGTTCTTCTTCCATTTCCAGCAAGTCATGGTGAAGATGGGAAGGCTCGAAGTTAAACAAGGGCCTCAAGGGGAAATCCGGCAGAATTGTCAGGTGGTTAACAATTGATCTTCTCAAACAAACATGAGTGTCTGATATATATGGGGATAGAGTTAATGTGGTAATGTTTGGCTTTCCTAAGTGGGGAAAGAGTTAATAAAGTAATGTTTGGCTTTCATATTCTATGTGTTCTTGTGAACTGTGAAGTGTTTATTTTGGAGATGATAGTTTAATAAAGTATGAAGTTTAAAATTTGTAATGTCTGAAAAACAAAAAATCAAATGTATTGCGCGGAGTATTTGAATAATAAGTACGAAGAGGGGATTAATGAAACTCAAGCCCCCCCCCCCCCCCTTTTCGAGAAGGGGGGGTGTTTTTTATCTTAAGCCATGCGGATAGCTATACAATAATACAACCATGCTTACTGTATGCGAGTTTTCCATCCTCACAAAATTTGAATGCGCATTGAGGTCCAATCCAATAAGAAGAAACCTTCAAGTTATTTGCTTAAAAGTTTGGCCCATAGCATACCCAGACTATCCATATTTGCAGCAAAGTTTTTGCCACTTTTAATCCCCGATTATTGTGTCAATGACACTGTTGTATTTGATTTTTAATTTTTTTCTTCGACTATTGTGCGAGAGACACTCTTAATTCTCGAATTCAAATTCCCCACATTAAGTCCTCTTGAGTATTACCAAATCAACACTTTTAGTCCTTTCACTATGATTTTGCCACAATAAGTGGAGGATAAAAAAATGCATCTGTGACCAATAGTGTCACTTTTATAAAAGTCGAAGAACTAAATGTAGAAAATTTCAAAGATATGTATCAAAACTGAAAAAGTGTCATTCGCACAATAGTTGAAAGATCACAAGCCGAAAATTTTTAAATTGAGTATCAAAAGTGTCACCAATATAATAATGGGAAAGTTCCCGAAATAGGACTAAAACAGTTTGAAATTCCAAAATAGGACTGCCATGTTTGGCAGTACCAGACTTCAAACATGGCAGTATTTTCTAAACATGGCAGTAATTAGTCCTATTTTGGGAATAAAAACATGGCAGTCCTATTTTGGAATTTTCAAACTGTTTTAGTCCTATTTCGAGTAATATCTCTATAATAATTGGAGGAGTAAAAGTGACAAAAACTCTTTGGAGGCACAAACCACAGCCAGTTTAAGTACATACATAAATCAAAGCACATGAAGTTTCAGACAGAAAGCTATAAATCTTAATGCCCAAAGGAAGTCCTTCCCATCATTGCCATGAAATCCTCTACTGTAACCTCTCCATCACCTACAGCATTTCATAACACTTCATATTAAGGGCCCGTCTTGGTTAGTAAATCTGCTGATTTTTTTTTAAATAAATGCTTTTGGTTTGAGGCAAATCAGTGAAAAGTCATTTATTCTGCTATTGAAGACTAATTAAAGACTAATTAATTCCCCAATATAAACTAACACCAACTAGGTCTAACTTACCATCTTGATCTGCTCCCTCTATCATCACTTTTATCTCCGCATCACTGAGACTCTCACCCAAATCCCTGGATACTTTCTTAATGTCTGCAGCAGATATTTTCCCCTGCAGTTTGAAGATTTTTACTGACAAAAAGAAGAGAAACACACAGTGGGATGGGGGCAAGAGAAGAAGAGATAACTACGTTTTTATCTTTATCAATAATGCTGAATGCTTTCGCGAGTTCTTCTTTAGTATTTCTTTCTCCAAATTTGTTAGTCATCATATGCTCAAACTCTTCAAAATCAATTGCTCCACTCCCATCCTTGTCAACTTCTGCAATCATGCTTTCGATTTCCTGGGATTACAAATTAGAAGTTAACCAGAGGCAAGTTATCATTACCATATTTGTTTGGTAAAATGATCGGATTACAAGCCACGCAGGTAACATTTATTTGTGGGCAAGTTTGGTATGGTTGTTATCTAGTGTGTGAACTGTAAAAAAATGTTGAAAACAAATGATTGTTTGCCTGTTAGGTAACTATAATGCTATCGTTAAAGCTTGAGCCCAAACCTTATTGAGCTGGGCCGAGCTCACAAGAATGTAAGTTGAGTGAAAATTACACCCTAATGGCCTCATTGTTTCTTTAAAAGCCACAACAATGTCTCTTGACCCTAAACACTGCAACAATACCTTGAAACCTATACTTTGGACTTGTGTGAAGTATATGCACTGAACATATCATTACCTCTTCAGTTGCTTCAAAACCCAGAGCCCTGTAATGAAACTATGTTCAGTTAAACAGCTGTTCTTTTATATATATCACTTTTCTGTTCATTGACCACAACAAAAATTGTAAAAGAATAACTATAGAAACCTCATGGCAACATTCAGCTCCTTGGCATCGATTGTGCCTATACAACAGGTAAAACATAGTTAACACAGAGTTTCAGGAGAGTTTGGCACATTAAGTTTCCAAGGAGGTTAGAATACCAGAGTTGTCTGTATCAAAGAGCTCAAAGCATTCCCTTATTTCTTGCCTTTTCTGTTGTGTTAAACCATGGTGGGGGTGCCCTCTTGGCTTCTCTCTCCTAGAATGGTTGGCCTGCATCATATTGTTATTCTATGATTGGTACAAAAAGAAGGTGCATGATGACAATGAGAGGTAATTACAAATGGCACATGCATAAACTTGGTATATGACATATTTTATTTTATAATGTGATTGTTAACAAATCAGCAAACAATTTAATCTATTCAAACAACAAGAATATGAATCACACTACAGCAACTAAATACTTTTTAAGGTAATCGCTCAAACTGCTAAAAAAGAGAAAACTAAAGCAGAAGATGATAAAGCCAAGGGTAACAGCCGAATATGCATACCAATGACACAAACAACATTGGATGAACTAAGTGAATAGAATATTGAAAGGAAATTATAAAATAACACTCAATAACGTTCTGTTAAATACTCCTCCATCCCTACATCCCCACTTATTTTGTTTGACCGTCCAGCGGCCAACTTAATTCTTTTTTTTTTTTATCATTTGATTTTTTGTATCAAATCTTTATCATGCTCAAATTCAGTTTTGCGGTTCAACAGAACTATAAGCGTAGTTTGTGAATATGTAATTTTTAATGATCATTAGTAATTTAAATATTATTATTATTTGGAGATGATTAATTTTAACTTCAGTCGAACCTGGTAATATAGGACAAAGAAACTGGGATGGAGGTAGTATATGCTTATTCCACAGCTTGGTTCATTTTATAGTCATAAAAGAGTAACTGTGTGGAAGCAATTGGGTTAGTTATCTCAAAGAGGATCATGACATCAATTGCTACTGATCTATCTAAAACATGTCTTCGTATTTATATCAAAACTATACTTTAAAAAAGTAAAAGTTTTAAACTAGAGAAATCTCTCAAATAGGAGCATAGACAATTTGAAATAAATTCCAAAATAGCAGTACTATATCTTTTCACTAAATATGAGTAAATTACAAATATTTCTGAAATCAAACTACCATATTTTGATATTTTGACATTACCAGTCATTAATAGGCAGTACTAATGCCTGTAATTGCTATTATTTAAGGGGGAACATAGTACTCCTATTTAGGGCAATTTTTTCTAAAGTTATTATTGAATACTGCAGTTTTAGTAGAGATATGAATTATGAAAAAGTACAACTAAACATGCATAGATGCAGACAATGCATTAACTAAGACTAATCTCAATGGTATGGCACTAATAACTCATAGAAACACAGTATGGACTATCAAGCCCAGGTCCAAAAAATATGGATACAAAAAACTGATAAACTCTGCTATATACTACTTGAGTACTTGTCCCAGAAAAAGGGCATGTCCTTCCAAGGCAGTTGAGAATAAGGTTCTGCAGAAAAGCACTAAGGATGTTCATTCATACATATTCATTAACAAGTTGTTTCCTTCGTTTGAGTCTTTGAGATGATCCAATACATTTTCAGTTGTCACAAACTCATATGCAGTGGATAATACACATCAAATTGCGTAATAAGGATGTTTTTACTTGGACTAACAAATTTTGGTTTGGTTTGGTCTGGTCTATTTAAATCTGGTCTGGTCTGGCCTGGTCTGAAGTGGTCTCTGTGTATTTTATAACTATTGAAGTCTGGTCTGGTCTCATCTGTTTAGGTCTAATTTGGTCTGTTTAAGTCTAGTGCGTCTAGGAGACTATGACTGAAAATAGTTGAAGCTAAAAACGTCCTAATAATGGTATGCGCCTAAATCAAGACCAAAATCATGAGGGAATGCCCAAGGTATTCTAGCCCTCAAATTCAATGGATGTAGAGCAATTAAAGAGTACAAAAAATAAAGTTAGGTCTAACTCATACATAGTAGTACTATGTAGTTGCTGTGTGATAAAGCCAGTAAATTGCTACCAAAGGGTGATAAAAAAAGCAATTGCTTAAAGTGTTAACCACCCTATTTTGCACTAGCTAAGTTACATTCTCAAATACTGAATTGCGGATAATCCGACGCTTAAGTAAACAACAAATTACAAAAATATGCAGGAAAGAAATGAAATCATTTTACCGTCGTACGTTCTTCCAGATAAGTCTGCAATCAAGTAAATTCAAAAGAAACACATAAGACCGTAATCAGAAGATAACCAATAAAACAAACGCTTGGTAAAACTAAACAGAAATTATTAGAACATAGCCATACGAAATTTTACCATGGCTTTGTTTTGTGCACGAGGATCGACGGTGATATTTTCTGTCGGGCGTCAGGCTTGTTTTGGAAATTGCGGCTTTACTGAGCTTTCTAAATTGCAGCTATCAGCTCTTAGTCTCGTATGAAAGAGAGGATCCGCGGGCGGTTCTTCTACCTCTTAAATTATTGTTCGGTAAAATTAACTGTTTCAAAATGACTGATAGGGCGTAACTATCTGAAAGAATAAAAGAAGACAAAGAAGGTGCCCTCTTGGCTTTTCCTACCAGCAATTTTTTAAACTTTTCAGACTCAACAAGCCAATCTAAAAAACTGTTCCTCCCTCCCTACCAATTTGTTTTGCAAAACTTTTTTACTTTGGTTTTCCCAAAATGATTTTCCAATTTTGTTTTTAGGTACTCCCTCCGTCCCAATTTGATTTGAAAATTTTCCTTTTTTTGTTGTTCCAAAATGGTTTTTCACTTTTTATTTTTGGTATGTAAATAAGAATAATGTGACAAATTTACCCTTACTTTTACTTTTCTCAATTAAAGGCATCTATTTTTAGAAAGATGGATAAAAGTGTAAAAAGCAAACATCATTTATTGTCATTTCTTAGTCAAAGTTTGCTATTCTAATTTCCGTCCCGCCGCACACCCAATTTACGGATGCTTTGATTTTCTTACTCGCCCACCTCGTATCTCTTTCACCTACCTTCTTTCTTCCCCCCTCATACGAAGTATTCAATTTCAGTGTCACAACCTCCATCTCCGTAAAATGGAGTCTCACACGGTCACACCTTCTCCATAGCCAATGAGATTCCTTTCCTTTTTGAAGATGAAGAAAGATAAAAAGAAGAGGCGCCCTCTTGGTGCATCAATTTCGGCTCCACCCTACGGTTCACCATCTGAAAATTCCAAGGTCCGACGCGCCTCTTTGACACAGTTCATCTCAGATGAGTCACCGCCGACCACCACCCTTAGATAACTCTGAATTGATTAGTGAGATATTTGCGTCGTTGGTCGATCCATCAAGCGGCAGAAAACAGTCGATCGGTTGGAGGCTCGCAGGTTTCTGTTGGTAATCAACTAATCGTTGATGAAGAAGGAAAAAGGAAGAGGCGGTGAGCCGGTGACTATGTGCCCGACATATATCGTACTTGGGCTAAAGATTTTTATTTTTTTACCTTTTTTATTCAAAAATGATGTTTGTACACACTCTTATACACATTTTTGTAAACATCTATGTCCGTGAAAGCTTTTCTTTTTGTCTGTGAACATCGATTCATAGACAATGTTTTGCACAAACAAAATACTGTCCGTGAACCGGATTCACAGACAAAAAAAAGCTTCACAAACATGGTGTGTATAAGGTGTGTACATCAAGCATGGTTGTAAATGTCAATTTCTCCACGTTCTTAATCCGCGTGCCAGTCAACTTTTGCAATTCAATTCGAGACGGAGAGAGTATTTACCAAACATAAATATTGACTGTTTTGACTAACGAAACAACTAAATTTGATCAAAATATTCATGAAAATATTTTGCATATTTTAATTTAAAAATTCTTACTTTACCAGGTCAAATAGCTTAATTTACAATTAAAATTCTCCGTTATTTATCTTTATTGATATTAAATTTGAATTGACTTATATAAATGAATTTTGTTTCCTATAAAATATGTAATATGAAAATTAGTTAAAAGGGGCAAACTAGCATCATAATTTTAATTATTTTCACAAATTAACTTTAATGTTTTTTGAATTCGAACATTCGAATTCGATTCGAATATATCAAATGAATCGAATACGGATACAAAATAAGATTCGAATTTTAAACGAATACGAATATGAATATTCGATAATTATACAAATACGAATAATATTATCAAGTATTCTATTCCATTCATTTACTACTACATATTATCAATCGGAATCTTATTAAATTTCAGGGTCTGTCCATTAAGCCACCTTTTGAGAATGCACGCTTTCGGGAATGTTACCAAACTAGCTCTAGGACTCCGCGGCTTTTGAGAATGTTAGAAACAAAGCCTTAGGAATTAGGACAGCCTCATAATGCCACAAACCCGCGAACTGTGCTAAACCGCGACGATAGATCCAGGAAGCAGTGATGTACTGAATTAAGTTAGTTGGTCACTTGATCCGCCCCCATTCTCATCCTCTACATTGACTCTTTAACTACAGCAGAACGCCGATTATATTGCACAGTAAGTGCTTCGGAAGTACTGCGGAGCGGATCGATCGGATAGGAGTAGTTTGTGGTAGAAGAAAATGGAGAAGATGAACCAGACGCTGGAGAAGATGAAGATGCTCGTAGGAATGGATGTGGAAGACGTAGAAGGAACCGCTAATCAGCAGCAAGAGTCCTCGTTTGCTTTCATTGAGGACTTCAATCGCAACTGTACTCTCTCCACCAAGCAGGTCAGTAGCTCACTAGCTCTTAATGCTATTCCGTTTTATCAGTACTACTGTACTAGCATTAACTTCTGATTTTGTTACCACTTTTGTTATTGTGATGTCGAATAATCCCCAACTAATTGCTTGAAAGAGATCCTAGTTCAGAGTGAAATGTAGATTATCTAGATGTTAGTTTTGGATAACCCGTTTATGTTTTATCAGTTAACGAATCAGGCCTAGAACAACTCTATGTTGAAACTGTACCATGTTGAAGCACCTAAAGTACAGTTATAGTATTGTTGTCGAATATGTGTTTTACATTTTCAAATCATAGTTGGTAACTTGGTGCATTGAACACATGCTACTAGGTGACATCAGAACTATAATTCGTTGAGTGTTACTAACATTAGAAGTCATATTAAATAACATCAGAACTATAGGAGTATGATCTAAATAATTCATTGGGAATAATTAAGTGATGGAGGTCATGGAGCATTACTAAAAATGTACTGTTTTTCTACTAACACAGTTTTCTGAGGTTGTTTAACAGCTAATATTATAAGGCATTAAACAATTGTGTTCTATAGAAAATGTATTATACTTGAGTTTCATAATCCATTTCATTTAATTCATTTTCTTTTTGCAGAGGCTTTATGGTTTTGCCATCTGCTTGGCTTCTGGTGTTGCTTGTACACTCTTGGTGAGTTTCTGTCATCAGATATTCTTAGTTTCTTCCTCATTGTTGATACTAGCTTTGCTTAGTTTTATGTGCAAGGAGTTGGGTTAAATCTACATACCTTAGATTATGTATAATGTGTTGTGTAGTTTAGAGAAGGCAAAAGCTCATTGTTATTGAAACCATATAATTCATAGATTGCGGAGATGAGCTTGGTTAGTGTCCACTTGTTACAATTTTCTGTTGGATGATGTAGAGTTCAAAATGAAGTGCAACTATTTTATGTTAGAAATGTGAATACATTACTGTGCAGAAATGCATCTATGTCTGTGTAGCAAGGAATGAGAGAAGAGAAATATACTACGTATTATAGAATTAAAGAATTTGGATGGCTTATTGGGCTCATGAGCCCGCCTCCTGGAGCTCACAGGCTGATGTGATTCAACTAAGCTCTTAATTTTTCTTTGATAAGTTCATTTATCGTTTCTCAAAGTATTGCATACAATTTTTTTGATGAGCAAAAAATCCAACATGATTTCTACTTTTTTTGTGGCAGTCCATGTTGGTGTTTCTCCATCCAGTAAAATTTGGAATAACTTTCTCCTTTGGCAATCTGCTTGCACTTGGAAGGTCTGAATATTATACTCTCTTTCTGCGTGTCTTTGATATATTAGCTTTAGACATGGTTATCTAAGCTTTCTCTATAATTTAAAGTTGGGATATGTAACATGAAAATGATCACCATCATTTGCTGGTTGATTAGTGATTTTCCCAGAACAAACAAAAATGGTTGACATCCTACAAGACATATGGGGTATATATGGATCACGGAAACTATGAGGCAAGGAAAGAAAATGCTAAGGGAACTATTTTCTTATGATGGTCGTTAACTCTGAGGATGCAAAGGAAAATAAAACATGATTAATTTATTTAATAGAATCCATATATTTAGATTTTTAAAGTAATCATCATCATCATTTCCCTGGTGCCGCAAAGAATCCCACCTACGGGCTACGGTGGGGTAAGGGGGGTCGGATGTACGCAGCCTTACCCCTATACTCTACTATATGTGTAGTATATAATAGAATTAAATAAATAAATAAATAAATAAATGTATATATATAAGCAGAGTTTAAATAATTATCTAAATTAAATCTATTGAGTTTGAGTCTACCCTTTTGTTTCTCTCAAGTTTGATGTCCTCCACATTTTCCTCCATATTTATTTCCATTAGTCTTTTATGGGTTCCAAACGTGCCCATAAAAAGACTGTTCTTTGGCTTTATTAGTTAACTATTCATCAAAATAGAACGTTTAGTGTGACAGACTGACAGGTTTGACACTTTCATATCTATCTAGCTCCAAACATCTTTTAAGAAGTTTAAAACATAAGGCATTCAAAATTTATTTCTAGGTGATGTGGATACTGCTGTGTGAAAAGAACGGTCTTATTCAGCTTTAAAATTTAGGTTCTTTCTATGGCAGCACAGCGTTCCTCATAGGACCTAAAAGGCAGGTGACAATGATGCTTGACCCTATCCGTATCTATGCCACTTCCATATATCTTGCAAGCATCATCATTGCATTGTTTTGTGCTCTATATGTGAGTTCCATGGCTCCTTTATCAATTAGCATTCAAATTCTGTTATTAGCTGTTTCATGGTCCTATTCTTGCACTGCATATCAATATCTTTAAACATTAGGTGAGGAACAAGCTACTGACACTTTTGGCAATTATATTGGAGTTTGGAGCTCTTATCTGGTATATCAATATGCTCTCAACTCTCTCTCTCTCTCTCTCTCTCTCTCTCTCTCCTTTGAATGATTATCTTGCCCTTATTCATGGCTTTGGGTTGGGAAGAAAAAATAAGGGCAGCGGGCAGCTGTTGGGTGACTTGGGTTGTGTGGAAAGTGTGCACAAGTATAATTGTATAAGCAAGCTTCATGTTTGTGATCACTCAAAATAAAATAAAATAACTCCGTTCTGTCTCACCAGTCACCAACAAAGGTGTGAGACCTAGAATTAATTTTTATCCCATTTAGAGTGTTTTGGAGGGAGGGGAGACGTGGTGTTATATCACTGTTTTATTATTTTTGGGTCAAAATGACCTCTTATAAACCCAAAGCGGCATTTGGAAACCCCAATGTTTTCAAATACAAAAGCACATTTAGATAGCATCTAAAAAAGAGACGCAGATTGTTTTCAAATTGCTTACTCAAACAGCTTCTAAAGTAATTGTGAATTAAAGAACCGTGTTATGTGTTAATGCGTTAAATGATACTTAACCATTTGCCATGAATTTGCCATAAAAACCATTTTTTATTGTGCTAACGGGGGATCTAACCATTTGCCTGTATAAATTTTGAGCAGGTATAGCTTGAGTTACATCCCATTTGCAAGGTCGATGGTCTCCAAAGTCATGGTTGCGTGCTTGGACACTGAATTCTAACTGCTTGAGGGGAGGGTGGAGAAAGAGAGAGATCAAGTTTTGTCATTTGTGTATAGCAATAGCAAGTAATAGAGTGAATTTTACATGTCAGGATTAGCTAACTGCATGTGGGCGGTGTGTAACTCAAATTTACGTACTCCGTATCATTTTGGCTGAACCTATTCCAGCCACAGGTGCGATGAAGCATCATAATAAACTCTTCAAAAAAGCTTTGTGCAGCCTTGGGTATACTTTCAAACGTCAATTTCTTTATTGACTAATTTTTTTATTAACTTTTAAGGAATTCACCTCATTCAAGTAATTTCATAAAAAATCCAAGATAATATATAGTCAATATTTTTCAAATCTCTAGATGGATGAATCATGGCCTATTATTACACCATGTACTTGTGCCAACTCAGGCTTGGGTCGATTTTTTGTGATATTATCATAGTTCTCTGTACTTCTGTAGGGATGGACTCGGGTCGGGCCTAGGCCCGGGCAGGCCAGCGGTTCAGAATTGGTGGACCCGGGACCGGCCTGGGTAACCACCGGGTCCGGGCCGGGCCCATTATCAATTTTTTTTCCTCTTCCTAATTAACCCCCCTCCCACCCCCAACCCCCTGAACCACCCCAAATGGCCCAAAATACCCAGCCCAACCCGAAAATTTAAAAACAATTGAAAAAAAATAGTTTTGGCCCGAACCGGGTCCGGGCCCAGCCGGGTCGGGCCTTGTTTTGGGTGACCCGAGCCCAGACCGGAAAACCCACGGGCTGGGCCTACCCGGACCGGTCACTGACCGGGCCACCGGGTCGGGCCGGGCCGGAACAGTGCCGGTCCCAGGTCAGGCCACCCAGCCCGAGTCCATCCCTAGTTCTCTGGATAGAGGCAAGAGCTCTGTCAGTTCTGATTGAAAGCATTTTAATTATCTATATTTTATTTTACTGCAGATTTGTTTTTCCATAATAAAAGAACTCCAAAAAACAGAACATGAAAATCATTATAATATGCTACGTAATATGTACATAAATGTTACAATTGAACCATGTTTTTCCAGCATTTAAGAATCCCAAAATTTGAAAACCCTTCCTCTGTAAAAACACTTCTTTATGTGCAATTTTTGCAAGCGCTTCTATGTTCCTCATTCATCTTCCTACTCAGCGGTCTGTGATGTTGCCTGGTTATGTTGCCCGTGGGTGTCTGCAAAGACCTGAGCATGATCTCTTACATCTCTGAATATGGAAAGAAATGAGTTGAGACTTTCAGAAGGGTGGCCCCCTAAAATCCACAACAGTAAGGAGCTAAATGAGTTCAGGCCCCCTCCTCCGTTCTCAGGTTGGAAGGTTTCCGTCTGTCCTCCGATTTGAAGAGGAGGGCTTCCATTATTATCTATTGATTCCTCACTATCTCCTCTTCCCGTTGTTGTGGCAGTACCATCAAGTCCTCTAGGATCTACAACTGGACCAGTGGGGTTCCTGGTTGGTGTGTTTAACCTAGTAATGTGTAGAGTTGATGCAAGGATTGTCGATGATGTTATGTGGAAGTCCGGATGCTGTTGAAAATGTGACCGTTGGTTTTGCATATATCTCTGCAGTGCTGGAACCTAGTCACAAGTCAAGCCAGGCAGTATATAAGAAATATCAGGAGTGCAAATATGCATATTTTTTTTAGCTTACTATGTTTTTGTGGTCACTAAAAAATATAAATATAAGGTTCTTTGTTTTAGGTCAATATAAAGTACTTTTTGTTTTCCATACTACGTAATTGACAAGATGAAATACTTGCATAAGCCTTTTACATATAAAGATTTTTAGAAGCATAAAAGACAGTCATGGAGAGGACCTCACCTCAAAACGGTTCCAAAAGTATATGATTAGATGTTGCACAAAGGAAGCAGTTGCAGAGAGTGCTAGATAAGAAAAGCCTGGAAAAAAGGTTGATTAAATATAATGAGTGGCTAAAAGGCACAAGGAAAAACAGAAGTAAAAATGTCGAGTGTCATAATTATTTTCCGCCCTTACCATAAGTATAGGAAAAGAAGTAGATGTGGAAAACCAGAAAATAGAGCAAAAAAAAGCGAGGGAAGTATTTCATTGATATTGGTGTGCGGACACTGCAATAAATTAACAAAACAATTACATTAGAGAAAAACAATAACAAGCACATCAGAATTGGTGTTTGCAATAAAGTTTCCTGGCTCTTTTTAAAAAAATGTGGTGTTTGAAAGATATACATTTTAATCAAGAACTCTGCACATTAATTAAAATAGAAAATGAAATATTGGACATAAAAAAATTGTTTGCTTTTGTCCCTAATTTCCTTTTACCTGATAATCTAGACCATCTCTCCACAATGATTTCTGTTACTTATCTCCAACTCGTATGATTATTTAACTTTACCTCCCACACTTCAATTGCCCAGTAGTCCACAATCTACGTTATACTACTTGAACACATTGAAAGATGTCTTTGACATATACTTTAAGGGAGAATGAGATAAACCTGATTAGTGTAAAGAGTTCACATAACCAAACAAGAATCAAGACCATGAAAGCCAGCAGCTGATCATCATAAAACTCAAACAGGAAGAACAGGATGCCAATCATTATCTGCAATTCAGATATGAAATTTTCAGCACTTGTACAGAAAAAAGTGAACACGTTTATTAAGATAACAAGGTAGGGTGCTTACGGGCACAAAAACGAGGGATTCGATCACATGGACAAATATTAACTGAAAAGTTGGAAGCCTATGCCGAGCATGATGTTGGAGCTGAACTGAAACAATGTTTGTCAGGGAGACAATGAATGAGAAAAGGGATAGGCATGATATGTGGTGGCTCAAAGAAGATGCGCAAAAAATACTGGTAATTAGAATTTACTCTCCAGCAACTAATACAACATAACACATAAAGTGAGCGTCTGGCTCCAGGAATGTCAGTTTAAATTAGATAATCAAATTATCTCCTGAAGCACTACCAGTTATTATGTCCATATTTGTTTTGATTGAAATTGTTTTTATCCTTAACAATGCACTTTAAATGGTTAAGTATACTTTGTAGTGTCATTACTGCCATAGAGTTTCTTCTTGCTGCCAAAGATTAAACGGCACACTAATAGTGACCAGCACAAAGAAGATGAAATGAGAAAGCAAGAAGAGAATAGGGCAAGAAAAAGAAATGAGTAAGTAAGGAGAGAGTAGAGGAAGAAGAAGAAGAACCAAGTAAAAGAAGCACTTTTCATTGTTTCACAACTCTGATATCATTGGAATTGCTATACGGCTCTTCCACACAGACGGGATCAATGAAGGGTGTCGTACTTCCAAACCCTAGTTTTGTAAATTTGGTAGATACTAAAAAAGTAAAAATTGACAGTGTTTTCAAATTAAACCTTTCTCCTATTATTATTTTAAAATATTTGAAATTGGATTCCAACCAATCAAGTATAAGCCTAGTAGCTTGGTTCTGTAAATGGTTCTCACTGGGTGGCCAACTTAGCGCAGTCTACGGCAAGTACCGAGATTAAATCAGCAAACAAGGTAATAAGACATTACCTTGCTCACATAACCTAGGTGATGTAAGATTAGTTGTGAAGCGAATGCACCCTGAGAATCATCTCAGAGGGCAATGAAACTCTTCCTTTTGACATGACTCATTAGATGCAAAAGATTAACAATATAATGAACATCAATCAAATAAGCAAAACAGTCATCTGATAGTAGTATAACATAGTTTTTATAAACCGGAAATAAAGAGAGGTAGGGCTGTAGCAAATTGTTATGTAACAAACCTGTAAACTTCAGCATGCGAGTTTGTGTCTCTCTTAATGTAAACGAAACTGACATTGTGGTGGTGAAGAAAACGAAAAGTGACATCATGAGTACGCCACACTTCGTCACAAGGTAATCTACAAGAATAGAGAGCAAGCCACACTATCAAATTGATGCTCGTTAGACTTATCATACAAAGAATGAAAGTTGCAAGCTGCACTTATAACTGCCCAGGATAAGCAGTTTTAATAATTTTAAGGAAATAGTGTCTTATTCTGCCTTGTTTCTACATTCCAGGGTTCAAATCAAATACATGTTCCTAGGTAGACATGTAAATTCAATTAAACAAATTTTATTACAAAAATGAAACAAAAATGACTGTTATATGAACATATCATTCTCGTACATATAAAAGAAATGCACCATTCAAGAATGACTGACCTCCCAACGTTGCAGAACTTTCAGGTTTCTCATGAGCATATGTAAGATTGTAAAACTCCTTCGTTTGGTGATTATAAAGATAACCTGTATCCAAGTTTCAATAACTGTGATAATAGTAAAAATGAACAATATTTAAGCTATAATTTTTTATAAGGAACTACTTAATACCTTGACCGGGAGAACTCAACAAACTGTTGATCAGAATAGTATCATATCCAACAAGCCTGTTGATAAGAAGTTGCTGCCACCTGAAAGAATTAAGTCCATCACTCGGAAAGGTTACAAGTGTCATGATTATATAGAATCACAGATTCTCTATTGTTACATCTTGAACTCAATTATTTTCAAGAGAGTAGGAATTGTTTAAAGGACAAGATCAACTCCCATGCAGTGACTTTTTACATCATTGGTCCACATATCAAGGTGAAATTCACTATTGAGAAGTCAAGCATAAAAATAAAGAGTTTTGTATCCTGTAGAAGTTAAACTTAGTGAAACTCAGAGGAATCCCAGCTAAACTTCAACCTTGAAATTTCATGACAAGCAAAACCCTATATCTAATATGATTCCTTTTAAACACAAAAAGACTTGGTGCAAGATGGAGTGTTGGTCACATCAATTCCGTACAAAAATCTGTTTACATCGCGTAATTCTATAAGCTATAAATAATTTATCTATAAGCTATACATCATTTATTTACACAAAAATATGTATACCTTAGTGTGGGGAAGAGTGAAGCAAATCTCTGTGCCACTGTAAGTCTATAAGCTATAAATCATTTATTTATTTATAAAAGCATCATTTCTTAAGATTTTATTTCACATGTGTAAGGCATGAAGATAATAACCTGTTTCCAAAGCATGGGTGTCGAGCTGAGATGCTTATGTTGATTGTGTAAATGTTATGTTGTAACCTAGCTTCTTCAGATAGTAAGAAATAGCCCTGGAAAAAATCATATACCAAAATACATCAAACAATAACAAGGCCAGAACATCACGCAACATTAATCCAGCAAGTCCTGAGGAGAAAATGCATGGACAGTCTTGGGAGAAAGCTGAAACGAATTAAGAGCATCACCTTCTCCAATGTGAATAAGAAAGTTGGTTCAAAGGT